TCGATAGTTCTTGTGTGGTTCTGCCACGTGGTTTGTGACCGTTACGTCATGCTGACGCCCGACCTGGTGTGTCACAATTGCAGCATCGTGGGACCCAGCAAATCTGGTGATCATCCGAGAGGTCATCATCTTGGGAAGTTATGTGCATTCTGCAGATATTTCCTAAAGTTGGTGCGTTTTTTGCAGTACGAAAAATTGGAGTGTCTTATGGATGACTTTCATGATGATACGGTTTTGCTGTTTCTGATGGGTTGCCGGTAGACGTTTCATCGGAAAATCTACTACATCGGGGATTCAACCAAGAACATTAATTTTGTTCCTACTTTGACGGGACGAAAAAAGGGGAGCGGGACGTCAAGTAGTGATACGTGTAAGCAACGGGAGCTACATTTTAAAATCGGCCGCTACCCGTTGCTACATAATTTGTGTCAACATATAATGCGTCAAAAAAACATTGAGAGGTGAATTAAACGATTACAATAAAGATTCTCCCGCCTTCTTCTTTTTACTTCCACCCCGTCCCCTCCCTCCTCCCCAGTGATCACAGATGAGCCTCTCGAGAAGATCTCCTAATGTGCCCAAGCTGTCCACATGTCTTGCAAGGTTTTCTAATCATCGCTTTCTGCAGAAAACCGCTTTCATTGCGTCTCTTAACAGGTCGTCCCCGGGGTCGAGATACCTATGGTGGTAAAAGTGGTGACAGATAGAGATTCGCAATTAAGACTAGAGCGTATGGACGGTTGTATGTTGCACGATAGGTGTCAGCGGTGTAGCATTTGTAGACTAGTGTAATTGAGGCCACCTTCACTTTCAATGCAAACGCACAGGCGTGGCGGCAAGGCATGGCATAAGGAAGCTCTGATGTTTTCCACAGGTGCAACTACCCATCGTACGATCCAGGGTTGGAAGGTTGATCACATATTGGTGATTTGATCCACCTACGACCGTTCCACAAATTTGTTCCGCCGGGAAGACGGTGCATATCTTAGCAGCTTTCAACTCCTCACCAAATGTCTTGATCACCAACGGCACCAACGGTGCACTCAACCAATTGCGGACTGCGCCCGTTTATAAAACTTCTCCATTTGGTGCCGATACACAGCTTCCAGCATCAGAAGAAAAGGTAAATCCCGCATCTGCTTCAGAAAAGAGTTTGCAATCTCCGCTAAATTTAAAGTGATATGTACGAAACGGTGAACGTCACAAGCGTATGTTGCCCATTAATTGTGCGGGATCACCGTTATGTAATCGGCAGCAAGAGGCTTGATCTTACGGATTTGATCGATGCACTTGTCGAAATCAGCTTTGTTGTTGGCGTAACGCATTTCCAGAAGAGTCTAATGTAGCAAAAACATATGGATCAGTGTCAATCATGAATTTCCATCATTCCCCAACAACGTGACTCGGATAGTACATACCTTTTGATGACAAATCCACGGTTAGTCTGAACGTTTGCAGCAATGTGATAGCAACAAAAGGCATTGAAAGCGTTCAAAAGGTTTTTTGCCTTTGAGTTTATTAGCCCTTTTTCACGGTCATTTACCACCGCACTTCCACGTTCGTTGATCCCAGGATGCGCATTACTAAAGCTAGTCGAAAACCAGTCCCACATCTCCTCACATTTATTTGGAAAAACCGCCCAACCCAAAATCACCAGATCATCCTGAACATCCATTAACACAGCCAAAAGAAGGATCTGGACAAAGCGGGTTTTGGTAAAAGTCCCATCAACAGCCACAAAGTAGAGAATGTGTTGAAAAGCGTATCGCGTTGCACCCGGAGCGATGAATAGACTATGGAATCGTTTTTCCATGCCGTTTTCGTTTGGGACTTGTTGTGCTTTGAGTTTCACAATGGTTTCGGGATCCCCACGAAGTAGACATTGAACATAGCCTTCCACTAGATTGTACTGCTCCCGTTGCGCATTGATTGTCTCAGCACACACTGCTTCCTTTGCTTGAGTGGTAGTGTACGGAATGTCGACACCAAGTTTTCGTATTAGAAACTTTTAAGCATCCATAATAAGAGCCTTGCTGTTCACTGTCATGCCTTCGCGAAGCTGCTTAACCAAAAATGTGGGCTCACGCTGGGATTCCCGAGATTTCTCAAGTGATCATTGGCATGAATGCTGATCGTGCACCTGAATGATACGATAATGTTCGGTTTCTTTGTGAATTGATATGCGGGCATATGCAGGACAATCGTCGCCTGATCACTTAAGGTAGACTCTGGTTTTGTTTCTGTCGGAGACTTTGTAGCTGACGTGATCTTTTTGCTGCCTGTGACCGAATGGCCATCATTGCTTCATCCATAGTTGCGAAAGATAGTCTTTTAAAGCTGGCACGTCGGGAGTGATGGTAGGTGACATTACGGTTAATTGAGGATCCTGTCAAAGAAGGAGGTTTGGAGCAATGAGAAGAGTGATCTCGAGGGAAGATGTCTCGAGGATTATCTTTCGAGACAGCGAGGGGGAACTGGAGGGGACTTCTTCGCATCGCTCGCGAGGCTCAGATCAAAAAGACTAAAAGTGTCCTATCCTGTGAATAAAAAAGTGTCCTATTCTACGAATTTTGATAAAAGTGTCCTATGTGTAATTTCTCTAAAATTAGAAGGGGTTTTGCGCTTGATCTATATAGGTGGCAACACTATGTTCATAGACTTATGTCGTATATTCTGTGGCTAACAGACGAGTAAATAGGATATTCCCAGATTCTTCTAGACGAGTAAAGCGTGATTCTTTTGGTATAATTCCGCGTGGGCACATAATAGTAACGTAAATAGACCGAATGTATCTTGATTTACGGGCTGCTATCTACGAAGGTAGACAAGTGGTCCTTAAATGAGATCAAGGGTAATGTGCTGGTATGTGCTAGATCATGACAAGGTCTTGCCATCACAAGATGAAGAATGAAGGTGGAAGTGTCATGAAATAATTTGTTAGACTTATGAGTCGTAAGTGATAAAAAAAGAGACTGGATTGCCAAACTTCACTTGGCCCGGAGCAAACACCTAGTGCTACGCCTGGCAGACGCAAGTCAGTGAGGTCAATTTCGTATCGCTAAGGGGTTTAACTAGGAGCAGGGTGAAACCATTATTTACGGCATCATAATTGTGCTTCCAATCCTTTTTGTACGTTTGGCTAATACAAAATAGCTTGTTGTTAAGCATGAGTTTCAGTCGCTGCCTTTACATCCTCCAACAATCGTTTGCAATCCGAGCGGTGGCCCAATACTATCAATAAAAGTCAACAATGAATAGACAAACCTGGTATAATTTTAGACGACAGCACACAAAAAGCGGACATGGGTGTGATAATAAAAAGATTTGAGCTTGGAAAAAATCCAGTCTAATTTTTATCTAATGAAATGCGACGTGCTCCGAGATTAATGTAAACTCATATAAATATTCGTGGGATGGTGGCTGATTTACGAAAGGGTGGTGGCTAAATAATGTTTCCCTATTAGTAAGACAGTTCGAATAACTGAAATAAGCTGAAAAAAGACTATAAGACGACAGACACTGAAGAATGTGTATGATGCTGTAAATGTTTGTATAAACCCAGTACATTCGGTTGCAACGCGATCGGCCTTTGCTTTTGAGCGTCCAGCATTTGCTTATATGATCATATTCACCTTTAATCGATTCTAAGCCAATCAGGTGCGTGTATCACAAAAGTGACTTTATCTAAGGGTGACTTTGGATATGCCTAAATACTCGTGAGGGGGACAGGCTAGGTCGCACTTAGTACGTAAAAGGTACACCAAGTCGCGTTATTTGAAGACACACACAGACAGACCGACAGATCAATGAGTAGAATTTAATGTTCGGCGTTCAATTTTGCGCACATTCACTACTAGTTTCGCCCTTCGAGCTCGCAACTATTCTTGATTACTTATGATAAGTGTGTATAATTGAAAGGCTGGGTCAACCTTCAAGATTGCACTGACCTCCAACACCACGATCAATATGACGAACCCACCCTCTATTTGCTCTGATGGTGCAGCTCCTGCAACAACGCGCAAGGGTACATGGCATACCCTGCGCGCACGTCATCTGCGGCCATATTGAAACACAATTAGCAATTCCAAGCTAGTTAATTTTCAAAGATATGGGCACGTATCATAGAGATCACACAAACAGTCTCAAATTAGGGGTACTTGGCGCATTGCCACCCTTCGGTATCCTAAAGACGCAAGCTTGCAAAAAGTTGTACCAGAACACTCGAAGCGCCAACCGTCGGGCTTCGAGCGAGCGACGAGGCAGATCGACGACAGAAAAGGAAGCCACTACCTTAAGAAGGTTACGACCTACGCCGTTACCCTTCTCGTGTCTTCATCAAGTCCGTGAAACCCAGCAAATGCTTACCTTTGTAAACATATTCCACATGCCGCTGCCGTCGTTACATATCATGGATACGCCGCCGACGTCAAATTTCAGTGTTTAACCCCCTCCCCGACGTCGGCCTTGCGGCTCGTCGCTATACCTTCAACATAGCGTAAGACTTGTAATGACATGCTCAGGCCCCTTCCATTTCCGTGCAAGTTATATGGCAACGCGCTGTACATTTCCTGCGTCGTTGCAGAAGACGTATCCTCCCAACTAGATTGCACAGCATGATCGATAGTCGTGGGTGCTTCTTTTTATGCGTCAATGCTGGTCAAGACACCGATTGTGTCTTGACCAGCATTGACGCATAAAGTGTACGATAGCTTACCCACACTTAGCGTACAACAATTAAGATTAATATATCGCCGGTCCAAAGCTTGAGTAGAAAGGCAAGGAATTATGTGTTAGGTAAACACTTTTTTGGAAATGATAGATACACATCTACCTTTTGATGCGTACACACCCACCCAAACTATGTAATCTAGCTATTTGCCACAAATTAAACCATAAATGCATAAAATATAAGTAACTGAACTAAACTGAACTGCAATCTAGACCACAACCAAGACCCCACTGCATAGAATTACATCACTTCACTTCAACGATCCCTCACAATGGACGCCACGCAAACGGCGCTCAAGATCAAGAACAAGGGCGACCTGTACTGTCGGTGCGCGGCCCTCACGTCCTCCTCACTCGTGGACCTGACGGTGGTGTACTATGGTGCAGTACACAGACGTGGAAGGCGACCGCTTGAAAGTTACGTTGCAGGCCGAGTACGAGGAGGCGTGTAACGTGCAGTCGCCAGATGCGGCCAGCGCCACGTCAGTGCGCTTTGAATCCGTGAGCCGCTAGTCCGTCAATTTCCAAGAGAATGTGGCGGCGCTGGTCCTCAAGGCCATAAAGAAGCTTGTGGAGATGCTGAATGTACCGATGAGCAAGGTTAAGCACGAGGGGTGGGCAGACAAGAAGCAGCAGACGGCGCAGACGGGGCTGGACCCGACAAACGAGGCGCTAAAGACGGTGTTCCAGGACGGCCGAAAAGCGGTGCAGGCAGAGCGTATCAGTATTCTGGAGCTGCCGGTTGACAAGCTCATGAAGGAGACGACGGAAGGTCTGAAGTGTACGGCCGAGGGCATTAGCGAGTTTGCCAAGGAGATGATGATCGAGACTAAGAATATGGTATCGGTCCAGGCGAACGTGGCATCTATCCGTAGACGGAGCAGCAGTCAACGGCCACTGTGGTTATCCAGGAGGCAAATGAGGCGCCGCTGGCGGCTACAAGCGACAGCGACAGCGAGTGGGGGCAGGTAATGGAACTGAAGTCGGCGTCTGTGGAGGAGACGACTGTAGTTGTCGATCCTGTGGTGGCCAGACCGGTTGTCGTCTGCTCCGGTCGTTGCTGCTCCGTCGAGGGATCAAATCAAGTGATCGGAAGAGCTTTATATGGGACGCAATATCTTTCCAGATGCAGAAACGAGCGAGGTTGTGGACCGTCTGGAGCAGTGCGACTGTAAGGTGCTGGTGATGGTGAATGCTTTGATGGAGAAGATGCAGGCGTTGGGTGGAGGACTTTGTCTGTTTCGATGTCGAGAGAGATGATGAAGCATAAAATTGTGTGTAGCGCAGAGGCGCTATTTGCAGCCAAGCGTCGAGGCAGCCCAGCAGACTTGGCAATCTCAATCGGAGCTTTTCAATTGTACCAGTAGCGCATGGGCAATACTCCTCGCCATGACAGGGACGGATCGGACGAACAAGACAATACGGACGACGAATCCCCGACATCATCATCGTCCATACAGCGCAATATCCTGATTTCAACCTTCTCCTGATAAAATGTTGCCGTGCTATTTAATCTAGTTAGACATATTCGATGTGTTTACGTGTCAACTTGTTGGCAATTTATAAATCTATACAGGTCGACTGGGTGTGTAGGTATCAATTACGATTCACAAATCCACACACTAACTAGTCAGTACTAGTTAAACAAGAGTAAGCGCCTTTACAAGGCTCTTAACAACACTCTACGCCTTTACAAGGCACTTGCGTCCAACGATGTAAAAGGGGAACTGGACATTATTGATTCTTTTGCTACGGCAATAAAGCCGAACAACCTTGTCAGACTTCTACATTACGATCCCATGACAGAAGTCTTGTCTCTTATCCTTACCCGATAAGATGCGGTATTCGTAAGTACAAGGCACCAATCCTGTACCATTCAGATCCACCGATCTTTACTTGGCGTGGACACACAACAGAATCAGTTCAATAACCGCCGTGTAACCCCGTTACAGAGTCGATAAAGGGATCGTAGAGGAGGTGCTGGATGTGATAGTGAAAGACCGAGTTTGTATTTCGCAACTGATCACTTATCCGAAACGCCGCTTCCCGATTACTGGTAATGTGATCTGTGGCCAAGCTGCCTAATGTAAATGTTTTCATGACAATAGTGACAAATTCAACGTCCACAAAGCCATTCCAGTGCCTGCACCTTTACTCGAATGGTGGAGGCGGCTTACTCTACGTCAATACGGGGTTAGGGGCCCTTCGTACATACCTCTTGCTTAACTTCCAGCCGTTGTCAGCGAACTGCAGTTCCAAACACGACATCAGTCAGAGCTTCTGCGGAGCGTTCTTTGGTTCCGGGAGCGTTACCAATACCGTCGATGATACTTTCTTACCGTCTTAATCTCTTTGCTGCAACGACTTCTCCGCATCTGGTGCATCGCGCCTGTCTATGATTGCTGCGTAAGAAAGATAGATGTTACCATCACATCATCGTGGTAGACTCTAGTAAAGTCTTCGTCAAGAAGCTCTCTTAAGATTTAAAATACCGGACATACCGCTTCTATGTCAACAAACGCGAAGACGTGAGCTTCACGATTGCGCGAGCAGGAGGAGTTCCTCGACTGCAAATTGGCCAAAGTGCGAGCCATTACGTCATGCCGCATCGTTTTTGGCTGCTGTTGAGATTAAAGCTGGACTGACGTGACAGTTGCTCCACTTTGCTGGTCATTTAAACCCGCTTGCAGTCTTCGTCACTCAGATTCCTGAAGCTGACCACAGCACCGTCGAGTTGCCTCCCGCACTCGCTAGAAGGTGACGTTTTGGGTTCCACTGCAAGTCTACAACCGGACCGTTGTGTCCTTGAGGAAATGCGTGCACAAGCTCGCCAGTCGAGCTTTTGTACAAAAACATTCGACCATCCTCCGCTCCAGTGACTACATATGCACCGTCAGTGGAGTAACAGCACCCGAGCAGAGGATCGTCGCGTTCCTTTTGAGTGAGCCCATGCTCCTTGAATAGATGCAGCAGCTTGCCTTCAAACGCATCCAGATGCAGGAACATGCCACGGTTTGTTGCAACGAGCAGTTGGTTGCCATCCGGACTGAATTTGAGGTCGAGCGCATGCATCTTCGTTAAGCTCAAGTCCGGAACCTGCGATTGAGCGAGGAATGGCTCAACGACCGCCAGAATTGATGCGTCGTAGAGCGAGAACTTGGCGAACGGTCCTTCCTGGTAGTTCCTCGCATCGTACATGCGGATTAGGTGGTCGTCCGTGTACACACCAAACACCACGCCCTCCTGGTCATACGCAGCGCAGACGTGCGACACCGGCAAGTGGTCGGTCCGGATGATCGCCTAGACACACATGCGAGTCAATTTGTCGTCAATATTCTCACCACATGGTGCTCAGAGGTTGAGTACATCTCGTGACGCACCGAAGTGTCAGAGTTGCGAATGTCCCATAAACGAATCGTGCCGTCTAATCCAGCAGAAATAAACTGATCCGCAGTGGGGTGCATCATGAGTGACGTGACTCTATCATCATGCAGGTGGTTGCAGGTGTGCAACCTTAGTACGCTCCTGCATGGGGGGACCATTCATTCGATTCTATCATATGCACCTGTCCGTGTGACCAGTATAGTAGCGAAGAAACTTGTTGTCAAAGAACGAATGATATCGTATCCGGTCTATTAAAACGCAGCAGCAGCAACAACAGCAACAACAACAACATTATCACTTATAAGTCAGGAATGCCACTTGTAAATCAATACCGCAATAGAGACGACCGTACGGTCATTGGCAGTGTTCGCAGATGAGAAGATGACGCAGTCGAGATGATGAGTGAAGCGCACAATGCCGACGCCGTATCGCTTGGTCAAGATCGTCTTCGCCACGCTGGCAACCGGTCAAACACATAGCCACGATCAGTTCTGTTCAGCCACGCGTCCAGTATACCAACCCACGCCTCGTACGTGCCGCTCAGACAATTGATCATGGACATGACTCCATCGCTGCGACTCGTGACGCAGCGTTCGCCGTCGCGGTGGAAATCCAGAGACGTGACCTGCAGGTTCGGCACCACTTCATCTACCTGCGTGCATCAGCAGAAAGCACCAGTCTCCACCAATGAGCAAATGTGCAGCTAACAGCGACATTTGATCCGTTTACTATGGTCTGGTACGTCGTACTGATGGAGCGAAGTTGCGGGCGACGCTGTAGGAGCACACGACGGAATCCGAGAGTTCTACTCCGTCCACCATGTTAACGTGCACTTTGACCCGCCAATATGCCAGCTGAGAGGATGGCAGTCAATATGCCAGTAAAAAGGAATGCTGCCAATATGCCAATGATAAGGAATGCTGTCAATATGCCACGTCGTAGGCCCAACAACGGGGGACTGATTCCGGTTGACAAACAAGTGTGGACCAAACTACCGACTGCGACTGGACTAAACCTCACTGCGACTGGACTAAAACCCAAACGCGTCCAATCCAACTCGCTGACTCCGAAACCAGTCCACCCCATTAGCCTGACGAGCCCGTCCACGTCAGCAGCAGCAACAAGCCAAGCCAAGACAAGCCAAGCCAACACAAGACAAGCCAAGACAAGGGAAGCCAAGCCACGATCATGTCGGGCGGGCACCTGTCGAAGGAGTTCTTTGAGCTGGTCAAGTCCATTGGCGAGAGCAAGTCCAAGCAAGAGGAAGACCGCATCATCCTTCACGAGGTGGCGCTCCTCAAGCGCAAGCTGAACGACGTGACGGCGTCTTCCAGCACATCCAGTGGCCTCGTGAACAAACGCAAGCGCGAGTTCCTCATCCGTCTCATGTACGTGGAGATGCTGGGCCATGACGCGTCCTTTGGCTACATCAAAGCCGTCGAGATGACGGCCAGCACGAACCTCATGCAGAAACGGGTGGGGTACCTCACGTGCAGCTTGTGCCTGTCGCCCACGCACGAGTTCCGGTTTATGATTATCAACCAATTGCAACGCGATCTGCAGAGCTCCAACCACCTCGAAGTCTGTGCAGCGCTCATGGCTGTGTGTAAACTCGTGACGGTCGAGATGGTGCCAGCTGTGCAGCCTATGATCCTCGATCTTCTGCGGCACGACGCCGAACTCGTTCGGAAGAAGGCTGTGATGGCCATTCACCGCTTCCACCAGCTCAATCCCGAGTCCGTCACGGACGTTGGCGTCGCTCTGCGTCGCACGCTCTGTGATCGTGACCCGAGTGTCATGGGAACGACGCTCTGTATTTTGCATGATCTGGCAGAAGCTACGCCCACGGACCATAAGGATCTTGTACCCAGTTTTGTCAGCATTCTCAAACAAATTACCGAACACCGGCTGCCTCGAGAATTTGACTATCACCGCATTCCAGCACCGTGGATCCAGATCCGTCTCTTGAAGATTTTGGCACTGCTGGGTCAAGCTGACCAGCAAACCAGTGAGGGCATGTACGAGGTGCTGCACGATGTCATGCGTCGTGCTGATACGGGCATTAATGTGGGATATGCTATTATCTACGAGTGTGTGCAGACTGTCACAACGATCTACCCGAATAGTACGCTGCTAGATGCTGCAGCTGCAAGCATTTCTCGTTTTATTTCGAGCGACAATCACAATCTAAAATACTTAGGTGTCACGGGACTTGCTGCTATCGTAAAGGACCACCCGCGTTACGCTGCAGCGCACCAAATGGCTGTTATTGACTGCCTTGAGGATCCAGATGAAACACTAAAGCGGAAGACGCTGGATTTGCTGTATCGCATGACAAATCCCGTGAATGTCGAATTCATTTCGGACAAGCTCACCCAGTTTCTTCGCGAAGCTACAGACGTTTTTCTCCGCACGGAACTCGTCTCGCGTATCACGCAGTGTGCCGAACGCTATGCACCAAAGCAACGCATGGTACATTCGGACCATGACGAATGTATTTGAGCTGGGTGGCGACCTCGTTCGCTCTGAGGTGGCACACAACCTGCTGCGTTTGATCGCAGAAGGAAGTGGTGAAGATGAAGATCAGGATATGGAACTGCGCCGTGACGCGGTGGATACGTACCTTGAATTGTTGGAACGCCCCGTGCTGCCCGATATTTTGGTCTGTACCATGGCTTGGGTCCTTGGCGAGTACGGGTATCTGTCTGACGCTATGGAGCTTGAGGAGATCTGTGAGCGCCTTGTGGAGCTTGTTGATCGCCCTTTTGAGCAGGAAGACACTACGCGTGGCTACGTACTCTCGGCTGTCACGAAGATAACGGCTCAAATGGGACACACCATTGATGTGGCTGACGCAATGATGAACAAGTACAAAAACAGTCGGAGCACAGACCTGCAGCAACGCTGCTTCGAGTATCTTGCGTTTACGAAAAACTTTTCTCTAATGAACGAGGTCTTCCCGGAAGACGCAAGCTGCGAAGACATTGAGGTCGATTCTAACCTTTCCTTTCTCACGAGCTTTGTCGAGAAGGCTGTTGCTCAGGGAGCACCCCTCTACGATCCACCTGAGGACTCAGATGATGAGGATGAAGGATACGGTAATCGCCGCAATGGCGGTGACTCGAACCGCCTCAATTTTGAGGCGTACAAGAAGCCTGAAATTCCGTACCCGACCAAGCTTCCACTCGCAGACCAGCAGGGGGCGTTTGGGGTTAACAAGTGGGGTAGCAACAACGTCCCGGGTGGTGCGCCCGGGCTCGGCAGTTCTAGTGGCCCAGATCCTACTGGGGGCTTTAGTGCTGGAAAGCGAGGAGTTGTCAAGAACGTCTGGGGCCCTATGGGTCTGACCACGCCCGACACCCTCGCACCTGCTCCACCTGGAGCTGGCATACCTGTGGCTACTGGACCACCCGATCCGTACAACCAAGGGGGGCAGGGTATCTATGGGGGACAAGGTGGCTATGGTACGCAGCCCGCCTTCGGCGGCCAGGGACCGTACGCGGCTCAGCCCTCCCAACAGCCACCGCAGCAAGAGTATGCTAGCCCAAGCAACTATGATAATGGCGATCCTTCGAGTGACGATGAAGCGAATGGCAACGTTGATGAGCGACAGATGTTGGCTTCGGCTATCTTTGGCGGTATTCCCGGTGCACCTGCTCCAATGCCTGGGTCTCGACGCGTCGGGTCGAATGCACGCTCCACAATCACGTCTAGCCGTCGGACTAGTCGTTCTTCGACGCGCCGTGCAACGAGCCGGGGCGAGCAACAGCAGCCACCTCTGGCCCAAGCTCCTATGGAGCAAGCTCCGCCTCCGCAACAACAGCGATCGAAGGTCGAGCTGGATTTGCTTGATATTTCATTTGGTACACCTGCAGCCACGGCAGGCCCAGTTGCGTTCCAGCAGCAGGCAATGCCGCCACTACAGCAGCAGCACCAGCAGCAGTCAATGCCACCGCTACAGCAGCACCATCAGCAGCAGTCGACGATAAATGCAGATCCGTTTGGGATGGGCTCTCCGCTTCCGCCCGCGCGTGTTTCCGAAGCTGCCTCGCCAGGTACCTCTGTCGACCCCTTCGACATGTCGGGCCTCAGCTCAAGCATGAATGGTACGTGTAGTGACGTGTGATGGATTAGTACTACTGATGGTCTGATAAACTGTATCTAAGCTACTGTTGAACTAGGGAGAAGCCCTGCGAATAGTCTGGACATGCTTGGCGGTAACAGCAGTAGCAGCAACACAGGCGCTTTCCTGTACAACGGCCGGCAGCTGGAGCCCTGGCAGATCACTACGCAGGACTTTGGTAGTCGCTGGGGCACGTGCCCATGCGAGAAGAAGACAAAGGTGAACCCAAGCGGCATTCGCACCCTTGAGGACTTTATGGGTCGCATGCACTTGTTCAAGGTGCACACTGTCGAAGCCATTCCGACAAGTACGTGTTACGAGTGATTATATTGTTATGATGTACCAGAGCTCTAACGTTTACTGTGATCCGTATTCTGACCCAGCAAACGAAGCGATTGCAGCTTGCCGTCTGATGAACTCAGAGCACGTCGGATTGATTCACGTGAAGGTCCGGAGTGGGGGCTTTGTGGACCTGACGGTTCGCACCGCTGACATGGACTTCACGGACCAGCTCTTGGACGCCACATCCCAGCGACTAAAATAAGTGATGGGTCGAGTCGAGGCCACGCATGGAGGAGAAAGAATACAGGGCAGAGACGGACGCCTGCATTACTGCCACATCCGATCGTAGACTCGTCATGCGATAATACGAATGCGTTCACCGCTTGCCATTCTGACAGAACCCTAAGTCTGTACGCGACGCCTTTGCGCACTACTAATAGGTAATGCTCGGTGCTCAAGTGAGAATTTGCGTGCTTCCCGCTCGACTTGCTCAGGTGATAACATGGATTGCGTCATGTCCGTCTACTGTTGTTGGCTCGAAAATCGTCTATGGTCGTCTTCTCGCGGTGCAAATGATTAGCACTGGACTGACTTACCACCCATGACATTGCTACAACTCGAAGATGGAATCAATCTGATTTGTAAGCCATCCATTCCATTCAGCATAGTCCAACAATTGCTAATGGGTCGGGTATGCTAAAGTACTTGCGAGCGCCCAGCAGAGGTCAACAGCACCATGCGAAGATCCCACGCTTCTACCGGATCAAGCCGAGAAAGAGCCCGTGTCGTCACCCTATTGTATGCTACATCAAAGGTCCCTCTCGTGTTTTGTTAATCCGTCAATAGTTGACCTCCTCGCGCGAAGCGGTGCGGCTGAAGCAAGAGCCAGTTCTGCTGTGGGACCATAAACTTGTCCAGCATGACCTGGACTTCCCTTCCAAAGTCGATACCAAAGGACAAGAAACAGGACAGTGGCCAGACGAGCCATCACAACAGAGTAGCTGTTCAGGAAGATAGTGTGTGCGATAGAAGCGACGCTGTAGGAGCTGCTTCCAGCCCAAGCGTCGAGGCAGCAGTAAAAAATTGCCAATCAATCAGTTTCTGTCACGTACACACCGCCGACTGCTTCGTACCGTGTGTCTTCCTTCTGCCTTCTTGCGAAAACAATTGAGCGAAGGACCATGCAGTCTCCACCCGCCGACTCTGCGGTAAAGACCCGCGCGCGGACTGTGAGCTCAGACCACGTCCGGCCTACCATCGTGCTGAACGTTCCAGGTGTCCGCTTGGCTGTGCTCCCCAGCACGAGTGACTCGCTGTTACATCTAGACATTGCCCTCAGCTCGGCTGCATCGCTCTTGCTCGCCACGTACATTGTGTGCGTGCTCGCGTGGAATGTCGTCTCGGTCGCTCTCGCAATGCTAGCACAGGCTGCAGCGCTCGCACTTATCAGTTTCTACACCTATACAGGCCTCGCTGTGTTGTCCATGGACACGGTCGAGTTGAACACTCGTCAAGTCGACGATACTTTCGAGCTGGAAACGAAGGAATCTCCAGCTACTGTGGTGGTAGCCCCAACGCTTCCGCTGCTATGCATTGACGGTGCCTCGAACTTGCTTAAACGCACTGGTGCCATCAAGTCGAATCCCGTGACCACTATCGCGAAAAAGGAGGTTCAAACACGCCTGACTGGACGTCACGTTCAGGCACGTGTGGACAGGACCCATCTGCTGGTCAACGTGGTGCCAGGCGATTCGCGCCGTCGTGTGGATATGGACCTGGCCAAGGCAAACATCCGGATCGGCAAGGCATTTGTGCAGACAACGCCTGGCACGCGTCAGGCGCGCGACATTTATGTCGTGCGTGTGGACTGCGGTGCGCAATCGGCTGCGGTGGAGAAGCATATGAACCCTGTGATTATGTGGGACGTGACGGCTACGTTTGAGGAATTCAAGCAACTCGAGCGCGACTTGCAGAAGGAACTCAAGGCCAAGAAACAGTCGCATGAAGCGAAGGTGCCTCATTTGTCCCGCGGGAAAATGTTTTTCGTCGAGCGCGAGCTCACGGTTACTGTGCTGGATGCTCGTCGAGTGCGTCTACAGGCGTTCATTGATGTCGTGCGCTCTGACCCGGTGCTATCGACCATGGGGTGTTTGCGCAAATTCTGCCAAGCTTACTAAGCAGCAGTTCCTAGCACAAGATGCTATTGGAAAAGAGGAGCATGGGATGTTTCCAGCTATTGGAGAATGAATTCATTGGCGGTGGAGACAAGAGGGGGGAGGGTAGGAATGGGAGGAGGAACTGGAGCTTCAGTTGCATGTGCGAGTGTGGATGGATGGATGGATGGGTGTATCCATCATGCAAATTGAGCTCCTATGGCTGTTGCTAGAGACTGTTGGCATGGAAAACAGAGGGCGGTTCTGTCGAAGCGACGTAGACAGTAGTACAGTGTAGTAGTGTCTCTGAATTATAAACGTGGTTTGACTCGGCGATTTGGCAGTTCGTTCGTGCGAAGAGTTACGCTTGCGTCGACTGGTAGGAAAGATCAAGAGCCTGTGAGCTGCATGAAGAAAGAACGTTTCGGCTGCAAGTCTAGCGCTTACTTCACGAGTAGTGCACCACAATGCACTATCACGATTGGCTGAAATTGAGACCCACCCACCCACCCACACGAGCAACACCTTGATCTGATCCGCTTTGGTCAATTGACAAGCAATTATCGCGCAGACCTGACGCGACGTCTGTTTGACGCTTCACGCCCACGATTCGGTGCTTTTAATCGGCTACTTCACAGCTGAGATGCAAGCGAGGACCGTGAGACGAAATGTCCTCTTGTCTTTGATGGTCATTGCAATGATAGAGTTCAATTGGAACCCAGTTACTGCACTGGAGGCCGTTCCAGAACGAGTGATACGAAGAGCTACTGGACGTGGTGGAGAGAGCGACGCTATTGGCTGGAGGCTTCTGATGCCGATTACGGACGATGTTTTCTCGAACGGCCCTGGCAATGACGACTTCAATTGTGCGGTGGTAGATGCTGAACTGCACGCTATAACGGTTCAATCGGGAGCTATGAACTGAGAGAGGTTGATTTTGTGGCATAGATGACAGGATCTACAGAGAACAGAGAGATAAGCACGGCCATGAACATTCCTCGCACGCTGTAATCATTGGCGTCAGTATCGGTGCAGGATTGCTATTGGTTACGGTCTGCTTGACATGGAAAGCTTGCATGGAGTGGTGTCTGAGCTCCACCCGGCGAACACGTCATCGAGCTTTTATTGAGCGATCGTAAGTCTTTCATTTCGCTCGTTTGCTAGATTGATGCAGGCTGTTGATCCGCTGGTGAGGTTGTGGATGCTATGGATGGATGTAGAAACGATGGCTGGAAATGCGAAGTCTGCTATCACGCAAACGATTCATCCCAGACGAGCTGTGTCTTGTGCGGAGCTACAACGGAAGGTTGGATTGAAAGATAGTAATGTGAAGGAAATCGGACGACGATACCTGCGCTTACTTGTAATGTGTTGTTGTCTGGTCTGTTGCAGAGATCAAGGTGATGTTCAGTCAGAAACAAAACGATAGTGCAAGGGCACCACTGGATATTTCACTAAACGAAACTAGCGCGCGCTCCGTTTCGAACTACATATCCATGACTTCCCCTCGCTCGGCTTTGACGCAGGGCCAATCCCCGTTTTCGAGTGGAGGTGCAACTGACCGCCAATTAGTTGCGCGTGAGCGTCACCAGTGGAAGCGCTGTGTTGGGAGGCGTCACGTTCGCTGGGTATGTTTTTTACTGCAATCTGAAACTCGGTATGTGTTGTGCATTGACGTGCTCATTTGGTTTCAAAGGTGTACATTCTGTTTGAAGCACTTCCGGAGAAGAAGGCGTTGAATAGTACCATCATAAAAGAACGCGATTTCCGGGAATGGCAAAAGCGGCAACCTCGGCGACCGCGCGAACTATATGAGATATCATTGTCTTCCGATAGCTGTACAGATAGCAACGGACGGACAGTTTCTTGCTTAAGCCCCAGTGCTGCGTTCGTACGGGAAGAGTCGCCGACTGAAAGTAGCGCGGTTGGCTGGTGCCTTGCCGAGAATTTCTCCGTGCCCTCGCGTCCATACTCCCGGTTAATGATGGTAAGTACAGCAAACGATCGGTCGCTGACTTGAATTGTGCCGGTAGTCGCTCACCGTTTCAAATGATGCCGTGATATTTGGCGTTCCAGCGCATCGCGACCTTGACGTTTTCTGAAAAAGCACAGTGGTTTTACCGATACTCGCTCAAGTTGTCGTCTTCGCTTGTTGGTGGCTTCTATGTTATTCGTACGTGTACAGTCAACTCTGTATGTCTTATGTGTTTCAACTTGCTTACACATTGTCGTGGTTGCACAGGTGTTCAGCGCGACAGAGTGCTGGAGCAGTCGATTGCCCTATTTTCGACAGCGCCTCGTGCAACTCTGCATCGTCGCCTTCGAGTTGATTTTATGAATGAAGTCGGTGTGGACGGTGGTGGTATTTTGCGGGAATGGCTGCATCTAGTTTGTAGTCAGCTTTTTACAGGAGATTTGGGGCTGTTTTCACTCACTAGTTCGGCTACGCACCAAGGGTACTGGATCAATCGAACGGCTACAGAAAAGACCGCGGAGGAGTTGCAGGTATACTGTTGGCGCGGTGTATGCTCTAATCTGTATGGCTGGATATCTCACCTGAGTATGCTTTGTTTTGCATTAGACGTATGTTTTCTTTGGAAAATTGCTAGGAAAGATTCTGATGGAAGGCCTACTCCTGAACGTTCGGCTCTCGATTCCGTTGTTGAAACACATTCTCGGTGTACCGGTTAAGCTATCTGACTTGTACCTCCTGGACGAAACAGTGCATTCCAGTGTGATGTGGATTCTCGGAAACGACAACACCGCTGCATTGGACTTGAACTTCACGATTGAGGGTGCTGAACTCGTTCGGAGCGGCACTGACGTGTCTTTGCATGATGGAAATAAGCAGCTTTACGTCACGAAAGTTGTGAAGTACTATCTGTTTGATAGCGTTCGAGTGGAAATCTCAAAGATCATGGAGGGTCTTCGAAGCATCATCAGCGATACGGTGCTTCACGTATTTGACTTCAAAGAGCTCGACTTATTACTCTCGGGGTTACCGCAGATCGATATCGACGACTGGAGACAACACACAGAAATTCGGTTTTATGAGCAGAGCAGCCACGAACTTTTAGTGATCGAATGGTTCTGGGAAATCCTTGAGTCTTTCACACAAGACCAACGAGGGCGATTACTACAGTATGTTACTGGCTCCAGTGGGGTTCCAGTGGAGGGGTTCCAGGTGCGCTAGGTTACACGTAAATGCTGGTTGTAGGCGGAATCTAATTCCCTGAACACCATGTTGTGCATGTAGGGTCTAACTGGCATGGACGGCGAAATCCGTTTCTTCACCATCCAGCTCGGGAACGACGTTTCAACCGTGTACACGGTACTGCCGCACGCTAGCACTTGTTTGAACAGGTAGGCGCGGGCTCGGTCGCATTTGTAAGAGCATGGCTGACTTTGATCCTTTTCTTACAGACTAGATATACCGCTTTATCCTTCAAAAGCAGAGCTTGAGCAGAATTTGTCCATGGTATATATGATGTATCCGTCTATTTTATACCTTTGTCAATTAGTGAACTAATACGGTACTCTGGCGTTCTTGCTGTCTACAGGTAATAGAAATGGACGTTACAGGGTTTAGTAGTCGCTGAGCGGTACCGTGCTAATCAAATTGTAGAACCGCCCATCAAGCTTTCAGCTTCGTCTACCGGCTCGGTAATTACTGCCTTGGCAACAGTCTCTTCTGATCAACGAGGAATTGGTCAGCACTTTCGACGACACTTCGTTCTCTTTTCGTGTCGCAATGGGAAGCGATGTCGTGTCGCTGGAGTCAGATTTGTGCGGGTTCGCATCATGGCGCAACAGTATGTGAGTGGTTGGCAGCCAACACTTCTTCTCGTCGCATTTTTTGCACCGCCCGATACGAGCCCGAAGTCAACAGCTAAGATTTGGATTAGCTCCATAATTGGTAAGAACTCGGGATTACTCTATCGATTGCTTGCTGTACACGAACAAACAAACAAACGTGCGAGCTGCCGCTCCCCCAGATTACAACGTGTTTACACGGTACTGAGCTCACGGTAATAAACAAGCAACACACTGAAGCAAGAGGACAATTCGACGTACCGGATTTTGTACAAGTCAACCATAACACGAGAGTTTGGTGTAACGTCACGGAAAAGTCTGGGGAAAGCTCCTAAGTGCGGCTCGCATTTAGAGCATCTCCAGGCGTGAGTAAAACCTAACTTTTGTGCACCAGCTAAAGACCAGTGATTGACTACCGAAAACCCCGATAAACCGAGCTTTTAAATAGTGTCAATAGCATTTCCGGTTAAAGCACATTCATAAACCCGTTTACGAGCTCCATAAATATGTCGGGACCGAAAAATCGTCTCGACAAATTTGTTGTTTCATAATATGAGAAATTACACAGAATCGGACACTTTTTATCGAGAATTCGTAGAACAGGACACTTTCTATTCACAAGATAGGACACTTTTTAGTCTTTTTGATCTGAGCCTCGCGAGCGACGCAAGGAAGTCCCCTAAAAATCCCTCTTGCAGTCTCGAAAGATAATCCTCGAGACATCTTCCCTCGAGATCACTCTTTTCTTCTCATTGCTCCAAACCTCCTTCTTTTACAGGATCCTCAATTAACTGTAATGTCACCTACCATCACTCCTGACATGCCAGCTTTAAAAGGACTATCCTTCGCAACTATGGATGAAGCAATGATGGCAATTCGATCACAGGCAGCAAAAGGTCACGTCAGCTACAAAGTCTCCGACAGAAACAAAACCAGAGTCTACCTTAAGTGCCCAGGCGACGATTGTCCTGCAAATGCCCGCATATCATTTCACAAAGAAACCGAACATTATCGTATCATCCAGGTGCAAGATCAGCATTCATGCCAATGATCGCTTAAAAAATCTCGGGGATCTCAGCGTGAGCCCACATTTTGGTAAAGCAGCTTCGCAAAGGTATGACAGTAAACAGCAAGGCTCTTATTATGGATGCTTAAAAGTTTCTAATACGAAAACTTGGTGTCGACATCCGTACACTACCACTCACAAAGCAAAGGAAGCAGTGTGTGTGGTGGAGTGGGGTTCGCTCATTTTTTTGAGGCGACTTCGACTATCCACTGGCGCCCAGACGACCGACTAACGGAGGGGGTACTCCGATTCCGCTTGCACTTGTTTCCTCCTCACCTTGTGTACCCGTCGGCAGAGCGAGTTGCACTCTTCTAGGTGGACTCGACGAGATGCTAAACTTGACCGTTGTAGAGATTGGTGCTGATCGGGTGGAAAATCCTCACCCGATCGCGTGTACTGAGTTGGCGCTCTCCTAGCGTCGCCGTGATTTGCCCTGATCACCTTGTGCCAAAATGTGTACTTGAGTCGCGAGCCTTTCTGGCCACTTGAGCCGTCTCGCGATCTTGTACATCAACCGATACGGTTGGCTGCGTCCGGTCGCAGTAGGGGTGTGTTGAGATTCCTAGCACTCCTGGCCAAATAGCTCCAGGAGTGATCGTTCTATCCTTGATGTCGAGATCCTCAGACGTAGGGAGGCCAAAATATCCAACCCGGGACAAGATCGACGCGAATGCGTTTAGAAGCAAATTGAACTCTGTTTAATGTTAACCAATCAGACCCACACACCTTACTCCTATAACTCAGAAAATCAGATGCCACGCGTCGCCTCTACAGATCGCCCCTTGTATCTATGCGGCACAGACCTGACACACCAACCGTCTGATCGCATCAGGGCATGGTCCACGCCAGATCGCGGTCCCTTGATCGCGGTCCCCTGATCGCGGTCCCTTGATCGCGGTCCCTCAATCGCGGTCCCCTGATCGCGGTCCCTTGATCGCGGTTCTGAACCGTTCTGACCGGATGAGATATTTCCGTGAATGATCCCAACGGTCCCATCCATATGATTGGTCCTCGTCCCACGATCATTCTGCCGGTACCCACTCCATACTGAGGCATACGTTTGAGGTTTTACGACACCGATCTTGATCGACTTTACCACAATCGCCCCCTGCACAAATAGCCGATCTGCAACATCTGGCTCGCTTGTGCACGTTTTAGTCACCACTTTCCGTTTATCCTCTCGTTGCCTTCCATGGTTTCCCCGTCGTCCACGCCCAGCTTGCCACCAACTAGTTGTGCGCCATATCCCTCGGTGATGATGCAATCTGGTCCCGCACCTTCAGTCGGTGTTGACATTTCGCCACGCGAACACCCGACTGGCCCCGATTCCACTACCGTCGCGGTTGAAGGTTCCTCGGTGAGCGGAGGTCCATTCGGCCCTGCTTTGGGACTCGATGCTGCTGAGGACCTCGCTTCAAGTACGGAACCGATCGGCTCCACGCTGACGCCTGATGTTCTTGACAGTTCTGCTGCAAGTGACGAGCCGATTGGGGTCGGAGAATCTGCTAAAACCACTGATTTGATGAGCTCCGCGTTGACGCTTGATGTCGTCGACAATTTTGCTGCAAGTGGCGACCCTATTGGGGCTATCCCGTTGCCGACCACTCGAGTTGAAACACCAATAGTTGATGAAATGATCGCGGTTGGTATGATCGCTGGACTTTATCAGCGGATCGCATCCCAGCAGGATCTTGTGAATAGCTATCGCGATCTGGAGCAAGCGTTGCGGGAGCAAACTCGAAGTGGTGATCGACTAAAACGGGAACTCCGTTCTCTTACCGAGTCGGCCTCTCCTTTTGTGATCTTCGCCCAAGCTCGTCGTGATCGCTCTCGTCTGGATTTGAAAAATGCACACGCTGAAGACGCTTTGCTTCAGGAGACAATTTGCGCCGGGAATTGCTACGAGCAGCAAATTAGCGACCTAAAGTCGAAACTTCTAAAATCGACGTAATCACTTCATACGTTTAAAGAGCGTCAAGATCTCAAGCTGGATTCCTTGCGACGACGCATGGATGAGGGAACACTCTATTTCAAGCCGCACTCTTGAAGGCCAAATAAAAGAGAACTGAGTACAAGGCAGACTGTACTAAGGCTCAGACCACGGTTCGCCACCTGCATGCTGCTCTTGCCGCTGTATCAGTGGAGCGCGATCAACTTCGGGATGATCTGGCTGAGTTGGAAGCTGAGTATGACCGATCGCGCTCCTTGCTCTCCGATCGTGACGATCGGGTGGGTCTGCTTCAAGCTACTATCTCGGGTTTGGAGGTAGAGCGCGATCAGGTGTTAAGCGATCACGACGTTCTTCGAACGAGCTTTGCTGCGCTCGTTACCGGCCCCAGTTTACATTCCTCGTCCCGTCCCGTTGAGACGGCCCCATCTACAAGTGCTCGTGTCAAACGCGCTAGCACTTCCGCTCTAACTCCTCCACCGCGGACCAAGAGAGCCAGAATCGAGGCTACCTCGCAGTCGGTCGTCAAGATGACACCCAAGACTCATTCTCCGACTGCGTCCGGTATCGTCTCCAAGCCTTATCCGCCATGTAAAACCCCGAAGAACAACCCTACCCAATCCCCCACAGTTCCACACGATCTCAAGCAAAACTTACGCCCAAGACTCCCGCTTCCCGGACCTGGTGTTCGAAAAGGCAAAGGCAGAGCGCGCAGTCCTACGCCTGCTCCAGCTATCTCGGATGATAACGATTCATCGGATGCTGGGCCTCGAACCTTGGCTGCACTCTCCCTATCACGCTCTTCTTCACGGCGTATAAATTTCGTTGGGTAATTTGACGACTCCGTCTTCTACGTTACCAGAGTTGATCGTAGTGGATGCCTCCAGCCCGGATGTGGATTCCTAAGCCTCCCCAGTTGCCGCTTCCCTTAGGCCAAAACCCAAGGTTTCCAAGGTCGACTTGTTTGGCGCAGCTTCTAGCAGTTCGTAGGGTCCGATCAGCGTTACGGAAGACGTCCGAGCCCCAGCCAATAATCTGTTGTCTTCGGCCGAGTACAGTGATGTTCCCAAGACTAAGGTGCCCCGCGATCAGTGGAGACCCGGGTATCACTGTCGCGTACCAAAATCTTCTGTTCAAGTTTCACCTTGGTCTGCGCGCCGGGTGAGCTGGATTAGCGTGTTGAAATTGGATTTGGAGTTCTTCTATCGCCATCTCGCCAGGCCCAAGCATTACCATTTTTCAGCCTCTCCTGCTGTGTCGAAAGCACCTCCCATGTCTGAGTGGTCTCCCCACTTAATTTCTTCGGCGCGGGTTGCCGCGCTTTATCGCCAGGAGCCCTGGAAATCTTTGCGCGTGAAGATTACGCCCATATCTTTCCAACCCGTTGGGTGATTCGAGCAGTTGCTGGACGTATACCACTCTTTCGGAGAGCGCTATATCCAGACGTTGTGGGAATCAACCCATACCTTCCCCATTTCTTCCGCCGATCGGGTTAAAGATCCTGGGCTGGCGTTATTATGCAATCAGCGCAAACAGCGGCGATCGCGATCCAGACTTTCTTGGAAAACCGTACTCAAGTTCATACTCCAAGGAATGGTAGAAGGCCATTGCAACTTGGACATTCTGCTGGACCCGGTTTTCTTGCACCTACCTCGCTTACATGAGAAGCGGTTCTGGTACCCCGGGTTGGGGACTGGGAAGACTAACACTCCCAACCTGGCTTCCGCTTTGTCGCTGACGAACTCTGCTGAGCCATGGCGTAATTCAATCGCGAATCACCCAGGCATGTCAATCTCTCGCCTATCCGGTAAGTTCTTCGCCCCGTAGTCTATCGAGTTAATCACATTTCGTGTATCAATTTCATTTCTTCATACTGTCTATAATCTTGATCTCTCCGGAAATGTCTTCTACTTCAGGCCTCTTGGGCCGCGATCGTGCTTCGATTGCTACACATTCTTACAAACATACCTTCCTCCTTCATACACCACCTCCTGGTGTAACTTTCCCCACCGTACGACCATGTGCAACCTCCTTGCACACTTACACACCCCATCCACCTCTATCTGGTCTAGACTCCTGGCTCTTCTTCGTGCGTTTGCATCAATTCGAACCTATTTCGACTTATCCGATCACGATCGAATTCTTGTAAGATAGCGCCATAATTCAAGTCTGCTTCATCCACCCATGATGGATCGATATTACATTTTCATTGAACCAGAAATTGACGGTGTACTCATCCGTAACGCGTCTTTCGACCCGATCGGACGTCCACAATCTTTGTCACCTCGAATTCACCATCATCCAAATCGCCTTCCCAGCTATCTTCTGGTGGTAAAGCTTCGTCGAAATCGACCCGATCGGACTCATCTACTTTCAGTTGACTTTGAGGCCGCTCTGGGAACATCATCACTGGCTTCAGCTTGGACACATGTACTATTAAGAACAACCTATAAGGTGTGCCTGCGATATCCAATTTTACTGCATGATCTCCGATTTTTTTCATTACTCGAAAGGGTTCGTGCCACATATGGGCTAACTTTACGAGCATACCCATCCTTCACGCGATCCAAATACAACCACACTTGTGCCCCTTGATCGATCTCTAGCAGATTTCGGTCGTCATTGTGACGATCCGATCGGTCCTGGATAGCGATCTTTAACCGATCGTTCACGATTGCTCTTGCCTGTTGATACTGACGCTGCATGTTATATCTCCATTTTCTTGGATATCGATCGCGAGGTTTGACACTTCCCATTGGTAATGCCGCTTCCAACGTCGATCAGGGGTCCCAGCCATGGATCAGATAAAATGGTGTCTCTCCGCGGACTCGATCTTGTGCGGTATTAATTGCATAGGTTAATCTTTCTGCATACTCATCCCAATCTCTCTGGTTTTCGTCAGCAAGATACATCTTAATCGATCGCGTTAGAGTTTGAACCATACGTTCCGTTCGCTTGAGGTCGATACGCCATTGTGGCTCGTTGCTTCTGTCCCGCGATCTTGTTGAAAGCTCGAAAGAAGTCAGACATAAATCCTGGCTTCCGATCATGAGGGATGATTGCACTCGCACCTAATCTTCGAAATACGCCTTCTTCATAGTTCTCTGCAATCGTCTGTGCAGTTCGGGAAGTTCTCGTAACCCGAGAACAGATCGATCCACAACAGCAACTCAGTATTCCCCTTAAACGATCGCGGTAAAGATAGGATATGATCCATTGCCAGAATTTGGAATGGGTACGTCGCTTGCAAGTTGCCTGGAGATCCACCCCGATCTTGCGGGCGACCTTTGCCGGTTTCACAATCAATACATTCGCCAACATAGCGTTGCACGCTCCGGTATAATTTTCGCCAATGGAAATTCGCCCTGATCCGATGGTATGTACGGCCTACCCCTTGGTGCCGACCCTCTAGACTAGTATGGTAATGGTGTAGGACGTCTTGTTGCAGCAACTCTGAATTACTAGACGAATTGACTCTCCACGATCTTCGCTCTTTGATGCCACCCTGGGGAGGAAAAAGAGCAGTCCACTTTGGTCGACTTCGTAGTCTGGTGAGATTAGTGCGCAAATCTTTGCGTCGCTAGCACTCAGCGTTGCTATATCCCCGATCAGATATGTATTCAAGTCCGATATCCAACTTTCCTCATTTTGCGCCTGGTTTATACGCTGATCTGGACTTGTTGTACAATTTTTTCTTGTCAAACTGTCTGGGGGCATCGTCTTCGCGTCGTTGATCGCGTGATCGCGGCTACCTTGACTCGGTGGTGAGTCTGTTTTGGTATCAGTAGTTCATTTAACCGATTAAGGGTCACGAGATTGTCTCGTTCTTGGTCTGATACTGCGACATTTCCTTTCTCCTGACGTAACGCTTCGCTCGCTAGTCGATCAGCACTCTGGTTCCAGTCCCGTTTCACATGTAGCAATTCGTATTTTGGCCACAATCGGAATTTCTCCATTGCCTTATGTTTCAAAAGTTGTAGACCTGGTGCTTTACAGTCGATTTTTTCTCGCATCTGTCTTTTTACCAAGTTCGAGTCACCACAAAAGATCACCCGACCTCTGATCTGATCGGACAGTGAATCCAGACCCAGCAACAGCCCACGATATTCAGCCTCGTTTACCGTCAAATCTTCCGCAAATTCTGAAGTAGCCACCATTATCGTCCATTAAGGCAACTTCCATATTATTGCACTGTAAGCGACACCTTTCTTCTTTACCCTAGCCGATCCATCGAAATTGACCACCAGGACACTTTCGTCTACTTCGACTGTGGGTGGTGGCATACAAATGTTTTTCCGTGGTTGTTTCCTTGGAGCGATCGCGATCGGCACTTCATCTGCATCCTTTCGAGGTGTTATACTTGCAGCCAGCGTACCTAGCACTTCGTCTTCGCCTTTTTCGCACCATCTCATATCTAACGTCCAGTTCGATAGTATCGCCGCCCATCTCCCTAGTCTTCCGTTAAGACCCGACGACTGCAATAGCCAAGCCAACGTCGAGTATCTCGTAAGCACCATAATCTCCCGCGAAACCAACATCACATAACAAATGTCTAACATTCGGAGGAGGGCTAGCACTTCTTTCTCAATAATTCCGTAATTGACTTCGTTGGATTTCAGCGTGCGACTAGAAAAAATGACAGGCAATACGTGCCGTCATACTCTTGAAGCAATGCGGCTGATACTGTCCACTTACTGGCGTACACCACAATCACCGGCGCTCGATCTGGATCGAAATGTCTTAAGATCGGTGTTTCAGCAATTTTGCCCTTTAGCAAGTAAAAAGCCATCATTCCTTTCTTCCATCGACTTCCATCTCCAGAATCTAGATCGCCCCCTGCTTTCCGGTCCAGAACGCCTCTTTTTTTGGTCCAGATTGTCGCAGGACTCATTTCGCGAATCGTGATCACGATCGGGTTCACTGTTGGATACCATTATCCGAACTTCTTTATCTTGGCTGATCTCGTGAAAATCTGCTTCCCGTAGCTCGTAGAGCACGGACGCATATTTAGCGAAGTCTTTGATAAAACGACTGTAGTAATTTAGGCTTCCCAAGAATGATTGCATTGATCGCAGAGTTTGAAGGAAGGGAATATATGCAATTGAGTTTAAATCCTTGGGGTGGTCTTCCAACCCTTTGTGTGAAACTTAAGGCCTAGATAGTCGACCTTACAGCGCCCCCAGAAACTCTTTGCCACACTGATCGATAGGTTTCATCGGTCACACACTTCTAGCAATCGTTCCACCTTTTCATGCAGGGATGACCAGGATTCAGCAGGAATCAAGATATCATCGATACAGGACTTCGGCCTAAAACTGATGGTCTTGGATCTGTGTCCGGCACTCCGTCAGTGAACACATCAGTTGGTGTCGACGATGGTAATGCATGCGAGTTAGGTGTTGGGTCGATCTTGAGATAACCATATAGTGCATTGTTGATAAGTCGTTGGTATATCTGGAAAGCGTTTTTTAGCCCAAAAGGCATTCGCAACCATTCAAACAAACCCGACGGCGTGATAAATGCAGAAATGGATCTTGCTCGTTCCGTCATTTCCACTACATAAAAACCACTCGCCAAATCTAGCGAACAATATTACATCGCTTTATCCAAGTCTTGTAATAATTCGCTGATTAGTGGCATGGGGTTTATCATCAATCTTGTCAACTGATTCACCCTCCTGTAATCGATGCACAGCCGTATGTCCTCCCCACTTTTCTTGATAGTCACCACGATCGGAGAAGCCCAAGGTGAAATGGACGGTTGAATGATCTTGGCTGATAATAATCCCTCGATCAGGTCCGCCAATTTTTCTCGATATTTAGGTGCCATCGGCCGTACTCTTTGCGCGCTTGGTTTGGCACCTCCAACATCAATGTCACATACTGCTCCACGCGCAGCTGGAGGCAAGGCGTTCCCTTTGCCTATGAGTAAGTGGCGATTCTTCCAAATCAGTTGCCTCAGCTTCTCCTGATCTTCTGTCAGCGGTACACCTGGATCGCCAACCTGGATGTCATCTATAGCCACTTCCTTTGTGGGCGCAATTATTTCTGGCAAGAGTGCCATATGTTGGTCCACATCTTCCACAAATAAATCACCACTATCGTGGCGATAAGACACCGATTTTGTTTGAGTCTCGTCTGTCACGTATCCCTCTAGATTGAGTAATGTAGCATTCTGTATCGTTTGATCTGACAATTCGAGCTCTTGATCGTCTCCGACCGGGTGATCATCTCCGATCGCGATCTCTTGTGCTCATCTGATTACGTCGTCCGAGTGTTCCTGTGACCGATAGCCCTCTTCTGCCTTCACTGCGGTATTGGCCACGGCAGGTGCCTCTAGTGATCGCTGCTCGTCGCTGTCTGGGCGATCCTCTTTCACGATCTGGCGTTCTGTGACATCCGTCATCTTTGCTTGTGAAGCTAGCAGATCTGATCGGCTTCCCTCCATATCCCTTCCTTGTTTATCTCTGTGGGTCAGAATCTTCTTTGGGATGGGGTATGACGGGTGATTCACTAAAGGCCTCGAATACTCGATCGGATGTTCCTTGGTTGATTTCGTTGTAGCTTCAAACGCCAGAGTCTGCCATTCATTATACCGGCGTGATCCAACTGATACATAGCCCGGCGATCGGGGTATCATGTCCGTTATCATCCACCACAATAAAGGCATATCGTGATTGATAATCACCTGCTGATCGACGATGTTGGCCAGTATCAATTACTTGATCAGGCCCGGTCCATTATTCACCGTTGGCACCCATATTTATCCCGTCTCACCCATAGTTTGGACTTAGGGAAACCTGCTCCAATCCTCATCTCCGTGGATTATCCAGCAGGAATTACTAAATGTTGGTCTGGGATAACGATCGGTTGCATGTTTACCCCATACGGAGGCCTGCGCCCTGCCAAGTGAATTTTAACCTCATCTGGCAAACAAAGCGTACCGTCCGCCAGATCTAACCGTATTCCCGCTAACACCATAAAGTCCATACCTAAAATCGCTTCTCGGCCCACTTGATCACTCACCCAAGCGCCATAATAATACATTAGCGTTCCGTTTAATGTGATCTTGATTTTGGTGCGTCCTTCCGTCATGTAGGCATTCTCCTCGTTTCCCACACATTTCTGTCTCTAACTGTCATCAATCACACATCCCACCTTACGAGCAAAGGTGGCGTTTATGATTGAGACTTCGGCTCGAGAATCGAATAGCATGGTGGTCTTCTTGTTATTAATTTTACCCACCGCTTTAGCCTGTCTAAACCATTTTCCTGGCGTGCGATATTTCCAATATCCTCTCGATTCCCCCGGCGCTTGATCGAGTTCCATTTTAACGGGAGATCGTGAATGTTCATCCACCTTTTTTACACTTGAAATATCACACAACCGATGGTGTTCCAAATCACATGTATTAGTGGTCGGGTCGATCCGATTGTTACTCCCTTGATCGATCCTGCCATTCTCCACAAATGCATATATGCATAGCCTAGAACGATCGTCTCGTGCCAGATTCTATCCTGGCAAGCGTCCTAGTTTAACATCTCTTCTGCCTTGTTCGGTAGTAGTCCTGCGTGCTTGGTTGGGACGTACCACTTGCGGATCAGGTTGTAGAGCTCTTCCATGAAACATTGGCCGCACTCGTGAACTTCCCCACAAGCGGAACACGGATGTCGACATTTTTCCGAGGGGTGCCCATTTCGGCCACACTTCTGACAGGTCAATCTTTTCCAGTATCCGCGATCGTCATGTCTTTTCGAGCCGCACTGTGTGCAGGCTTTCGCAACTCCGCCCCGATCGCGATCATCATCTCGGTCTGTCTTTCGCGATCTGTCTCGTTGATCCCCTGGGTCTGCAGCCTTATCAGTGATAGTCGTCACACAAACCTTACGGCGAAAATTTCTTCATCTGCATCGTCCGAACTTGAGTCTGAGTCGCTTTCCTCACTTTATGCACGAATGGATTTCACCATCCGTGGTGTCTTCGAATATACTTGGTCTGGCGTCGTAGCCGATCGCGATCGGTACTTGTTCGAGTCAGTCGGATCCTTATTCTGTCGAAAAATCATACGCTGATAAGCGCGTAGAGTTTCTTCCATCGTGTTAGCATCATGCACTCGCAATAGGGTCAGTTGCTTCGCCAAATCTCGATCATCTAAAGTGTCAGTGAAGTGTTCTACATGCTCACGTTGGCTTTCTGGCGATCCATCTCTGAACGCCACTTTTCTCGCATTCCTGCTACATTCAACCAGTCCTAGTATTCCAACGGGGTTTCATTTGGTCTCTTCCCCGCGTGGTTGTATTGTATCTGCTGACATTCCATATGTTCCATATCTGACCATGAAGCCTTCCGACAACGACTTCCAATCATCGCGGGTCGATCGGCTCAGCTGGCTGTGTCAATTTCGGGCAGGTCCTGTGAGCAGGTCTCAAAATACCATACATTTCTCGTCGTCTAGAGCCTGATCGCGTAGAAAGGCAGTCTTTATCTTGTTAGACCAACCTCTAGCACGTTCTTCGTCTTGATCACGTCCTAAAAATTCTTTCAGATCGGCCATCGCCGACAATTTAATCCTTTGCACGCTGAAACCTCCTGTCGGGGCGGTTCCTGCAGTTGCCACTTGTGGTCGTCTTAGATCATATGGTCCCTGTGATCTGACTCATGTTCTCCCGGTCGATCGCGGTGTGAGTCTACTGACTCCATTTCGACGTCTGGGACGATCGGGTAGTTAGCTCCTTGTTCTTCGCGATCGCGAATGAATTTGTCCATGGCGGCCTTAAATAAGTTTGCAACTGGCTTGGCTCCACCTTGTTTGCATTCTGCAAAGCCGGAATTTGAGTCGATCGTATTCCGTTGTTTGCCGGGTCGAGCCTGTATTTAAGCATTGCTGCCCCTGTCGGTCCCAGAGACATCCGCTGCATCCCAAACGACTCTTCTGAGTCCATATCTGATTCTGCCGAAGCATAGCATGACGATCCCGTGTATTCCTCTTTCACGATGCGGTTGGTTGACTCTCTCCTTAGGCTCAGGTGTCCTTCTTCACTCTTGATTCGCTGGCTCAAATGTCCTTTTTCTCCCTCGATCCGTTGGCTCATAGGGTTGTGAGACCCTGTCAGTGGAGTTAGCTTTTCGCATAGTCGATGTCCTGCTTTGATCACCCGATCGTGATTAAATTTTAAGAGCGTTTGTGCGTCGAAAGCTCCAGCTGTAAATCCAGCGTCTCTTAGCAGCGGAATAAGCCGATGCAATGTCTCCAACTGATTCGAGGTCACTTTCGGTGGCAATACTGGACCTTGGATCGATCCGACCAGCTTAGGTTTCAGCACCTTTAGGACTAGGTCTTCTGCAAGAATTTTCTTCAGTTGTTGCCAATAGAATTCCCAGGTGTTCTGTTTCAATTGCCAGCCTTCTAATTCCACATCCTGAACTTCTGCCTTGTTCTCTTGCTTGTTTCGATGTGGCTCTGCCGTCTTCGTCTTTGAACGGGCCAACTTAGGAGTGTGTTTCTTCGCCTTTGGTTGGGCGGTAGTTTTGGATGAAGATCTTTCAGGTTTTACTGGAGGATTTCCATCTGGCAGATCATGCTTTGCAGCACGATCCGCGGTGGTCCCCGAAGGGGCCTCAGGAGGGGGTTGATGTTTTTCTTCCAGATCAGCTTGGTGATTTTCCTCTTTGACTTTCTTGTCATCATAGCCCCTACCAAAACTACGATGATCTTGGGATCCATTCTCTTCGCGCGTCTGTGGCGATCCATAATCCGCTGACGCTCCAAGCCCAGGTTCAGTTTTGATCTTAACGTCTCCATCTCGGGACTCACGGTAAAATCTCGAGTCACCAGAAGATCCGGGCACGCGCACTATTGTGGTGGAGTGGGGTTCGCTCATTTTTTTAGGCGACTTCGACTCTCCACTGGCGCCCAGACGACCGACTAACGGAGGGGGTACTCCGATTTCGCTTGCACTTGTTTCCTCCTCACCTTGTGTACCCGTCGGCAGGGCGGGTTGCACTCTTCTAGGTGGACTCGACGAGATGCTAAACTTGACCGTTGTAGAGATTGGTGCTGATCGGGTGGAAAATCCTCACCCGATCGCGTGTTCTGGGTTGGCGCTCTCCTAGAGTCGCCGTGATCTGCCCTGATCACCTTGTGCCAAAATGTGTACTTGAGTCGCGAGCCTTTCTGGCCACTTGAGCCGTCTCGCGATCTTGTACTTCAACCGATACGGTTGGCTGCGTCCGATCGCAGTATGGGTGTGTTGAGAGTCCTAGCACTCCTGGCCAAAAAGCTCCAGGAGTGATCGTTCTATCCTTGATGTCGAGATTCTCAGACGTAGGGAGGCCAAAATATCCAACCCGGGACAAGATCGACGCGAATGCGTTTAGAAGCAAATTGAACTCTGTTTAATGTTAACCAATCAGATCCACACACCTTGCTCCTATAACTCAGAAAATCAGATGCCACGCGTCGCCTCTACAGATCGCCCCTTGTATCTATGCGGCACAGACCTGACGCATCAACCGTCTTTTCGCATCAGGCATGGTCCACGCCAGATCGCGGTCCCCTGATCGAGGTCCCTTGATCGCGGTTCAAAACCGTTCTGACCGGATGAGATATTTCCGTGAACGATCCCAACGGTGCTATCCAAATGATCGGTCCTCGTCCCACGATCATTCCGCCGGTACCCACTCCATACTGAGGCATAAGATTGAGGTTTTACGACACCGATCTTGATCGACTTTACCACATGTGCTGAGACAACCAATGCGCAACGGAAGCAGTACAATCTAGTGAAAGGCTATGTTCAATGTCTACTTCGTGAGTACCCTGAAACCTTTGTGAAATATAAAACACAACAAGTTCCAAACGAAAACGGCATGGAAAAACGATATCATCGTCTAATCATCGCTCCGGGTGCAACGAGATACGCTTTTCAACACATTCTCTACTTTGTGGCTGTTGATGGGACTTTTACCAAAACCCGCTTTGTCCAGATCCTTCTTTTGGCTGTGTCAATGGACGTTCAGGATGATCTGGTGATTTTGGGTTGGGCGGTTTTTCCAAATAAATGTGAGGAGACGTGGGACTGGTTTTTGACTAGCTTTAGTAATGCGCATCCTGGGATCAACGAACGTGGAAGTGCGGTGGTAAATGACCGTGAAAAAGGGCTAATAAACTCAAAGGCCAAAAAAATTTCGAGCTCTTTCAATGCCTTTTGTTGCTACCACATTGCTGCAAACGTTCAGACTAAACATGGATTTGTCATCAAAAGGTATGTACTATCCGAGTCACGTTGTTGGGGAATGATGGACATTCATGATTGACACTGATCCGTATGTTTTTGCTACATTAGACTCTTCTGGAAATGCGTCTACGCCAACAACATAGCTGATTTCGATAGATGCATCGATCCAAGCCGTAAAATCAAGCCTCTTGCTGCCGATTACATAACGGAGATCCCGCACAATCAATGGGCAACATACGCTTGTGACGTTCACCGTTTCGTACATGTCACTTTAAATTTAGCGGAGATTGCAAACTCTTTTCTGAAGCAGATGCGGGATTTACCTTTTCTTCTGATGCTGGACGCTGTCCATCGCCACCAAATGGAGTTGTTTCATAAACCGGCGCAGTCCGCAATTGGTTGAGCTGCACCGTTGGTGCCGTTGGATATGAAGAGATTTGGTGATGAGTTGAAAGCTGCTAAGATGTACACCGTCTTCCTGGCGGATCAAACTTGTGGAACGGTCGTAGGTGGATCAAATCACCAAGAATTGATCAACCTTCCAACTCCGGATCGTCCGATCGGTAGTTGCACCTGTGGAAAAGATCAGAGCTTTCTTATGCCATGCCTTGCCGCCTGTGGGTTTGCACTGAAAGTGAAGGTGGCCCCAATTACACTAGTCGACCAATGCTACACCGCTGACACCTATCGTGCAACACACAACCGTCCATGCGCTCTAGTATTAATTGTGAATCTCTCTCTGTCACCACTTTTACCACCAGAGGTATCTCGACCCCAGGACGACCTGTTAAGATACGCAAGGAAAGCGGTTATCAGCAGAAAGCGATGAAAGGAAACCTTGCAAGACATGTGGACAGCTTGGGCACATTAGGAGATCTTCTCGAGAGGCTCAGCTGTGATCACTGGGGAGGAGGAGACGGAACGGGAAGAAATTATATAAACGAAGAAGGCGGGCGAGAATCTTTATTGCAATTGTTTACTTCACCTCTCAATGTTTTTTTACGCATTATGTGTTGACACAAATTATGTAGCAACGGGTAGCGGCCGATTTTAAACTGTAGCTCCCGTTGCTTACACGTGTCAGTACTTGACGTCCCCCTCCCCTTTTTTGTCCCGTCAAATTAGTGAACAAGGACAATGTTCTTGGTTAAATCCCCGATGTAGTAGATTTTCCGATGAAACGTCTACAAGCAACCCATCAGAAACAGCAAAACCGTATCATCATGAAAGTCATCCATAACACACTCGCATTTTTCGTACTGCAAAAAACGCACCAACTTTAGGAAATATCTGCAGAATGCACATAACTTCCCAAGATGATGACCTCTCGGCTGATCACCAGATTTGCTCGGTCCTCAAGATGCTGCAATTGTGACACACCTGGTCGGGCGTCAGCATGACGTAACAGTCACAAACCACGTGGCAGAATCACACAAGAACAATCGACGCACCCGCCCACTCTTGTCTTTGGCCTTCTGCCATGTTCATCCATCTTTCTTGTAGTCCGAGACCTCTAGTGTGTTTCTAAACAACAACGTGCCTTTGACCACGCAAAAAATAGGGTACCAGAAATTACAGTCAGTAGATATCCGATAAGGGTTAAAATATTTCAAACAGCTCCTTGTTTTCAGTTAAACAATAAGAGACGTACCTGGTGGACGAAAGTGCACTGAGTGGAGCAGCGGGACGCTTTCCAGCTTGAAGTGCAGCAAGAGGAACACCAGCTCGTCTTTGATGAGCCATCGCCGAACTGCTTCGTTACTTAGAAAGGGTGCGCGCGCTTGATTCATTCGCCGTCTTGTACCCCTCTAATCGCTGGTGAAAAGAGAACCCTATCCTGTGAAATAAAAAAAGTGTCCTGATCTACGAATTTCCGATAGAAAGTGTCCTATTCTGTGTATTTCTCTATAAATATATACTTCAACATAAAACAAATCACTTACAAAAGTATACACGCACCAGGGTTCACCCACCGTCGTGTCCGGAGAGTGTTTCCAAGCTTAAAACACGGCGATGGACAATTTGAATCTTTTTTTTCGGTACCTGATTTCCGGATCCAGTCGGAACTGGGTCTTAAGTCTGTCTTTTCGATTTGCCACTCCCTTTTTGTCATGACTCAAATGAGTGACTAAGTCGCAGAGGTCAATTGATATCTATTCAGCTAACTGAATAAACCTTGCACTGCTGACAGTGCAAGGGTGTGTGCGTCCGACTACCTCACGTAAACGTAAGTGCAGAGGTAGATTGCTCTACGGTGTGAGAGTACCCTTTAAATCTATAGAGTAGAACTGTATTTAGTATATTTAATCCCTTTTAATCAATCGTTATTTGACTTAAATCAACTATGTTTAAACGCAATTGTGGTGGAGTGGCGATCGTTTATTTTATGAGGCGAACCCGAATCTCCACTAGTGCCCAGACGACGACTATTAGAGTGAGTAATCCGTTTACGTGTCTCGTATTTCCTTCCTCATCTTGTTCAACCGTCAGTAGGTCGGGCTCGACTTTTCTCGTTGGACTCGTGCCGAGGAAAATTTATCCGTCTTTAAAAATTTGGTTTGCGATCGCGCAGAAACCTTCATACGATCACGGGTATGCTTGTAGGTTACTTACGTAGGCTACTCAGATATAAACGAGATCGCTTTGTTCACGATGCGGGTGCTTAATACTCGAAACTTTTGAACACTTGATCCGTCTCGCGATTTTGCGACTTGTCATTTACTTTTTTGCTGTGTCCAATTCCAGTTGAGGGTAAGGTGAGAATTCCTGACGGCAGCCAATCATCTGGGGATATAACTTGATTTTAGTACAGGCGACTTTCTTGACGTCGGGAGGCCAATATTCTAGACCCGGAAGAGAAGTCAACACGTAAACTTCGAAGCAAATAGAATTCTGTTTTTAGTCAACCAACCAAAAGCTTAAAAATCTAGTATGCATGTCTGTAAGGCAGGATATGCTGCCACGAGCTCTCTACATTCCTTTGATCGTTCCTTCGCATAGTGGTCCACTTTCAGATAGATCATTGATCTCCTTGACCCATCATCGATCTCCTTAACCAATCGTCGATCTCCCTGACTGATTACCGATCGCCTAAGCTGGTCGTCGATCACTCTCTAGGACCGTGATCCCTGCCGACGTGTCGGTCATTTTTCCGACTTCGAATACCTCATGCGTTCCCGATCTTGGTAGCTTAACTCGATCTTGGCAACTTGATATACGATCCCGTTGACACGATTATTGATTGCGTTATTGCAATAAATTTTCTCTCGGTGTCATCGTATTTGATCTTATTATTGCGACGTTCTGTCTCGGTATTGCGCAGATTAACAGCCAATCAATTTTTCTCAACGAATTGTTGCGGTTTGAGAATACTCCGCCCAAAGTCGCCCTGATTGCGTCAATACGATTTACCACACAAACCTGTATTGCAACTATCTGTGAACCACTCATTGCATGCCTTCGTCGTGGCTCAAATTTTTTGGTTAATATCTTGGTCCTATATCAGTCACTGAGCAGTGTGTTACATCTGCAAAGCAAAATTATCTATTCGGGTAATATTGTGAGAATATCGTGTTCGTCCTAAAAAAATGTTCCTACTAAATAATTACCTTTGTTTACTGCCATTTAATGGAGGCACCCCATTA